AAGCAACAAGTTGGTAGAAGAAGCATCAAAGATAGGAATTCAGGTGAACATAGAAAAAACAGAGGTGATGAAGATTCCTGAGCAACACTACCAACAGCAGCAACAACAACAGACAACAATCAGCATAAATGGAAGGAACCTGAAAGAAACAACCTTTACCTACCTGGGAGGCATCGTTTCAACTACAGGCGGTGGAACTGACGAGGATATTAAAGTAATGATCGGAAAAGCAAGACAAGCTTTCACTACTCTCAAGTCTGTGTGGAGATCAACAGCACTCAGCATCAAAAATAAGATCCGGATTTTCAACTCCAATGTGAAGTCAGTGCTACTATACAGATCAGAGACTTGGCCAGCGTGTCATAAAGAGCATCTCAAACAAACTACAGACCTTCATTAACAGTTGTCTTCGCTCAGAACTACTCAAGATCAGATGGCCGGCCAGAAAAGATCAGCGACAGGGATCTCTAGGAGCGAACCAACCCATCTGGGACCGACTGTGTAACAAATAGGCAGGAAGAAATGGAGATGGATTGGTCATACTCTGAGGAAACCACCAAATGACATCACTAGACAAGCCATTGCTCGAGTGGAACCGAAAGGGAAGCGGCGAGTTGGTCGTCAGTGTGAGGGTGACTTGGAGGAGGTCATGTGAAGAGGAGATGAAAGCGTGTGAGCAGACTTGTAGCCAGGTGAAGACTCTAGCAGAGAAGCGAACGCAATGGAGATGTGCAGCTTAAGCCCTATGTTCCTCTAGGAATTAAAGGAGACAATAATAATAATAATAATGGATGATGATGATGGACTTCTATTCAGATTAAGTACAAATGGACTTTTTATGTGACTAAATAACTGTTTAGGAATATGACGACAACATTGGGACATTCCATCTGTTCTACGTGTAGACATGTCACCGGAAGTGCAGGTGAACTTGTAGATGCAGTGTGAAGTAAAATCCACAGGATTTCGTCGTTTAATCACAGCTCAAGGAATCAAAAATGCTCCAAATGTAAGAAAAAGATATGCGGCGTAGAATATGCGCTTGATAGCTGACTGAAGGAAGCCTTTCGGCTGTCAATTGCATGATTTGTTCATTCTTGAATGGTAGTTTAATACAGATGGCTTTCTTCGGTACGGAGACTGTCTTTTCAAGGGGTAGTCTCTGCTTACTATGATATCCGATGCAGTTTTCAGGATAACCACTAGCCAATAAAAGTGAATGTATGCACCGTAGTTCATCTAGGAATATGTTGCTCGTGAAAAGTTTACGGGTCCCTTACAACAGGCATCTCACCAGGGGAAAGTTTATACTGGATAGGAACAATTTGTAGTAACAAAATATTTTCTACTCTATGTCTGCTTACGAAATATGGATGGCCTAATCGTTCCCTCGTCCCTCCAAGTCAGTGAAATATCCAAGATAACAAATCTGTGGTGGGTGCTTACTGCTAAAGAGTCCCAAACTAGGATGGGAGGGGGTAAACAGCTGTCCAGTACTTTTTGCAGGTTTTCCAATGGTTCTCATGATGAAATCCTCTAACCAATCAATCAAATCCCTACAAACCAGTACTTGAATATCGATGAGATACTCACTGGCGACTGGCCCTATTCAGGTAGGTAGTCACCTAGGTTCTAGTGAGAAGTCGTGACCCGTAGGGTGCAGCAGGTTGGGTGTGACGACAAATACTCTCCACGGATGACATTTGCCAGCGTTCGCGCTATGTCGTGAATTGTCAGAAGTTATAATTCATACCGGTGGCTTAATGGCCTACAAGCTACTTCGCTGGCCTTATAGTCGAGAGGTCCTTGGTTCGAACCGTAGCAGTGCTTTTGAAGAGTCCCAAAATAGGACGGAGGAAACAGGTTGGTTTCGTCTCATGAATAACATTTTATTAGAGATTTATTCATAGATCTTAAGCTAAGTTCCTCCAAATTTCAGGTTGTTAGTTTCAATTTCAGACACGCAAGCGTGACTTACATGAGCTGCTTCATTTGCATGATACCATCATCATAGATACAACTTGAATTGTGTATTTCATCTGATCCTTCCTAGTCTTTCTACATCATATTAACTTTTAAAAAGACATAAATGTCCTAGAACAAGTTCACTTTTAATAGTTCGAAAAAATTTGGGCATTGGGTATTTGATATTCATTATAATAAAGGTTTTTTTTGTATTTCCCAATGAATGAAAAACAAAACGATATTGTCATTTAAAACAATTAGTTCCCTTTATGAATTTAGATAAAGCAATAAGAAGACGTAATTTGTCTGAATCGTGTAATGTATTTGCGCAACACATTTCGAACAATCCGATGTCACACATGGACTTGTCATAAGAATATATATGCTTTATCTATATATTGTCATTGTTTTTACTCACATTTCGCTATTTATTGCTGCTGTTAATAGCTTTATCAAAGTAGTATTATTAAATCAGAATTTACAAAATCCACTCAGCTTATATCACATAACAACTTAATCATCGTTCCTCAGCATGGGGTCATTTTTGCGTTGTCAAGTTGACCAATTGGTAAAGATAACAAAACCAGGTGTAGATTGTTGGATATGATAAGTGTATAAAATTAAAAAAGAAGAAGAAATATCAAAGATTACTGAGATTCTCAAGAAAAATAACTACACAAAGAACTTCATCAACAAAATCAACACTGACATCAGGTAGGGTCGAAAACGTATTCCGAAAACATGGACCTCAACAGTTGTCATTCCATATAGAGTGGAGACGTCAGACAATATCAGAAGAGTACTCAATAAGCTTGACATCAGAGTTTTCTTCAAAACATCAGACACACTGCGAAACAACCTTGTCCATATAAAAGACCAAATCCCTTAAGATTCTCTATCGAATTGTGTCTATAAAATAAAATGCTGGCTTGGAATGTGATGCGATATACATCGGACAAACCTCGAAAGAAGGAAATCAAAATCAGAAGAAATGTACACCGTAGAGCCGCACCTGTTTGACCACCGAGAAATCCGGTTGAACTAGAAAAGCTTAAAAATCATCAGCCATAGGTGGTGGTCTATACGCTATAGAATCAGGCCACAAAATTGATTCTGACAATATTGAAATAATCCAGAAAAAGCATTTCAGAAATCACAAAGAACGTCTCATATCATCAGAAGCACTTCATATCAAATGGAATCCAAATTGTCTGAATAGTCTGCGTCGGTGGCATAGCGGTTAGGACTCTCGCCGACCATGCACATGGTCCGGGGTTCGATCCCCTGCCGACGCACACCTGATATCTATGGTCGGCCTGCAAAATTTGGTCTACCGATATCCATGCTGAAAATTCCATACTTGTACTGAAAATACGGTGTGGAATCAAGCTGTAATCAAAATAAAAATAAATAATAAAAAAATGCATTAAAGCAGAAATGACCTGGTTATAACACCCCTACCGTCTCCCATGAAATGACAAAGTCAACGCGAATATGACTGATAAGCAATTTTATTATGTAAACACACGCTGTTTTTGTATAATTTTATACACTTATCAAATCCAACAATCTACACTTGGTTTTGTTATTCTTCACCAATTGACCGACTTCACAACAGAAAAATGACCCCATGCTGAGGAACGATGATTAAGTTGTTATGTGATATAAGCTGAGTGGATTTTGTAAATTCTGGTTTAATTATACTACTTTGGCAAAGCTATTAGCAGCAGCATTAAATATCGAAACGTCAGTAAAATACAACGACAATATCGTTTTGCTCTTTTTCATTCATTGGGAAATACAAAAAAGACCTTTATTATTTTGGAATGATACTTCGTCTAAAGTTTTTCTTAAGGAGGTTGAAACAATCTGGTGTCATTCAGTCTCTACTTTTACAGTTTGTTAAATCTTAAGTAATTCTACTTGTTTTTCTTTAATGTTCTCCTCTTAAGAAAGAATTTGTCACACTGTGAAGAGCTCTAAAAGCTGTCGGTAGAGCGAGTGTGGTATAGCTAAACGAACTTGCTAATACTGTTGTAGGCATGTAGACACATGGACTTATGCAAGAGATTAGTGAATATTATTTTGTCAAACCCTGAGCATCCTCTCTACAGACAACCTTCTCGATTGTATCTCATCAGATAGGAGAACTAGAAGCCAGTACAGAAGACTATATGATCGGTTGACTAAGTATAAAAACTAAAATACCTTATTGAGCATACATTTTATGTGATAAGAATAGTATAAAGCTAATTGGTGGACGGTGACTAGCAGTGGAGTCCAGGATAGCGCGCGTTTCGTCCTATTTGGGACTCGTCAACTAGCTGGATGTACCTGTATTCCGCAGTGAGTGATGATGTTCCCACCGAGGCTCGAACCCAGTGCCCACCGTTTCAAACGCCAAAGCGTTATTTACTAGACCACTTGGGCCACGAGAGCCACTGCCTCTTGTGCAACAGGTAATATTAATTATTTAATTAAACTTTAGATTTTCCCGTCATTTGATTGGACCGAAGTGCTCAGTCTCAGGTTGACGTGTCGGCTTCTTGTGCAGATGCTTCGACGATGTCTGGGCATTTAATTAGAAGTTAATTGGTGGATGGTGACTAGCAGTGGAATCCAGGATAGCGCACATTTCGGCCTCGGTGGGAACATCATCACTCAATGACTGGGGAATGCAGGTACATCCAGCTGGTTGACGAGTCCAAAATAGGACGAAATGCGCGTTATCCTGGTGGATTCCACTGCTAGTCACCATCCACCAATTAACTTCTGATTAAATGCCGAGACATCATCGAAGCATCAGCACAACCTGAGACTGAGCACTTCAGTCCAATCAATCGACGGGAAAATCTAGAATTTAATTAAATAGTATAAAGCTATTATTATTGTTATATGCAGTGAGAGTAGCTTTTAATTATTTAGTTGTATTTATCATAATTTATTAGTATTACAATAAAGTTAATCATCATTTTGGTAATAAAGTTGATCAATTCCTTATGCATTTTGAACATTTTCACAAAATATATTTCCAGGTATTCTTACAACCAGTTTGGTTATTGGTCTAGTCGCTGGATGTCAAGGTGAAAAAGTTCGTCCATTAATTGAATTGGCTGAGTCTGTTTCTGAAATAATGACTGTAATCACAGAAGTTATCATCAAGTAAGCATTATATTGTAGATTGTTTTAAAAATTTCTGTCTGTCTGTTTGTCTGTAATCGATATAGAACTTTGCACCGATGTGCGGCAGTTCAAGTCTCCAAACTCCGTCCTAGTAGCACGCAAAGCAAGAGAAGAAAGTAGAAGAAATGCATAATATAGACAGTAAACAGAGGTGTGAGACAAAGGTGTAGTAATAACGAAGAACAAAACAGTTTCATTGGAAATCATAAGTCACAAGGAGTGGATACATCTGCGCCAGCCATTGAGAACGATTTTGAGCCATATCACCAATTGTTTCCAACCATTGGTTTTTACCGTCCCGAGGACCCCAACCAGTCAGGAAGTCTACACCTTCCTACGTGGCTTAGACTAACTGTTGTAGATTTCATTGACTGGTGAGGCCATGTTTTGGTTTGACCGCCGCTAGCTCTTTTCCAGCCTGACCCTATGTCAGCTAACATTGCCCGTCGAGGAAGGCGATGACTAGGCATACGTAACACATGTCGTAACCATCTCAGTCGATGTAATTTCACAGCCTCGTCGATTGATCTCCCCTCCTTACTTAGCACTCGACCGAAGCCTAACCTGAATATTGCTCACCTTATTATACCACTTCATACGGGAGATAGAACGCAAGCACCTATGATCAAAGACAGCTAATCTTTTCATATCTTCCACTCTTAATGGCCAGGTCTCACAGCCATAAATTGGAAACCAGCTAGAAGTACTGGAGAGTTGTTTCGTCCTAATTTGGGACCCTTCATCAGTAAACACCCGCAAGGATTCGATGCTTGCTAGTGACTGCCTACAGGATGAAGTTGATTGGAGAAGTCTTGACGGCTGAGCTTCATCCGGTTGGGAGTCTGATGAGGACGAATGCTCACAGATGACATTGGTTGACAGTGGTCGCGCTAAAATCGCGAATTTGTAGAAGTTAGAATTCATCGGCTGGCAGTTAAGAAGTCGGCTCTCAGTGATGGCTGAATGGTATACGAGCTCATCTTTCAGTTGGAAGGTCCTGGGTTCGAGCCCTATCAGTGGGTGCGTACTGCGGATGACTCCTAAAATATGGGGGATGAAACGGCTGTCCAGAACTCCCTGGTTCTCAGAGGTGTTCTCCAACTGATATCAAACTTTGCTCAAACATGAAATAAATCAAATCCTTAAAAAAACTAACGCTTGAAAGTAAATTAGAGTTAATTATTTAGGACAGTTTACAGTCTGTAGTTATGGTAAGATAGACTCATAATTGTCAAACTGTAAAATATCGATCACCATAATTTCGAAATAGTCCTTGCCGTAATGATACCCACTCCTTTACGTCATTAAGGCGCGTATATAACTTTAATATAGGAAAGTTTCACAAAGATTATTTTAAATATAAACCGTTAATCTTCTGAAAGAACAACCATCTCATCCTAAAGATTACCTCATCTGAAAACTTTATATATAACTCTTCTCAATAATAATAATAATAATAATTTGCTTTATTCCAAAACAGTACATGTGATACAGGATGGAATTCTCAGCACTTTTACTACAGTATTGCATCCAGTTAGTACATTATCAATAAATAGAATTCTACATAGATTATGGATAGTTTCAATTAATTTTGCAACAACATGTCGGTAGCAAAGCCAAAGCTGAACAGTGTTTGAAGGTGTCAGAAAAGTAGGTGCTATCATATTTACTGGCGTAAGCGGAAGAAAGAAACAAAGCAGCACATAGCAGAAAAGAGAAAAAGAGAGAGAGAATAGGAAAAGAAAGAAAGAAAATGTTGTACCTATAAATGATATTAGTTGGAAAGACGAGGTCCAGTTGTTCTACTGACTATTTAATGAATTATAGGTGTCACGCCTAATGCTTTCTATATCGCACAGAACACGAGCTAAGTAGGGTATGGTTGAGTTTTTGTACTTTCTGGTGCGAGCATATAGTTTCCTATATAGGCTTCTGGTTCTGCCTGATGAGATACAAGGGGAGAGTTGTGAATGAAGAGGGTGGTGTGAGTTAGACAGAAAGCGATTTGGCCCATTTTTCACATGAGTCCATGTGCCTGTCGACCAGAATATTAACAAGCTGGTTAAGTAGCACATTGCTTACACCCTGCTGACAACCTTTAACAACCTCCATAATAAGGTATGGTCTTTCTTCAGTAGCCCGGGAAAAACTAAGGGGGAACAATAGAGAATAATAGGCAGAATGCGAGAATTGACGAATTGTAGGAGTAAGGGTTGGGTTATACCAGAATGTTTTAACTTCTTGATGTAGAAGGTAAGACGGAATATTTTCTTAGAAATCATCAAGATATGAGACGACCAGGAGAGATCAGCAGATAGAATGACGTCTAGGTATTTTATTTCCGACTTGGTTTCTATTTTAGTACCATCTATGTTGCACACCTCGTGAGAGCCAACCAGTTTGTTTAGGTCGGATTTATGCCTAAAGGTGAAATTGACTGTTTGGCATTTGGAAGGGTGTAGGGTAAGACCGTTTTCCTTGGACCACTGGCTGATTTTTGACAGAAAGCCATTAAGTTCAGAGCAGTCTCTTTGACTTGAGTAATCCAAGTACATGTATGCCGGTGGTGCAACGTTAGAATGCTCGCCAAACACGCCTCATTTACTTAGTTCAGGGTCTGATCCCCAGCCAATACAGTCTTAAATTATTGGTATTAGATGGTTGGAGACAATGGGCAGGAAGACCTACCTGACCTTGGTTTCGTGCTAGTTGGTACTCACCAGTCAGCAACCCTGAAGGAACTCATTTCCCTTCTGAGATTCGAACCTGTGTCACCCAGTGAGCTCTGCAGTCAGAGACGTTACTAGCCACTGAGCTATTGGGGCTCGCGATCGACCTCCTGTAGGAGTGTATCGGATTTTTTTCTTTCGATTGGACACTTGTCAGTAACTAGTGTAATGTGTCTAGTCCTCCTATTTTTGGTACAGACTGAATTCTATCAGTCAAGTTCGCAGTGTGACAACCATGCGCCACTCGGGGGTGGTTTGCCATCACGGTGCACTGTGAATTGTTGCTGACGAGTGTCAACTAGCACAACACCTAGGTCCAAGGCTTCCTGTGGCCTATTGCTCCCAACCATCTAATACCAACAATTCACAGTGCACCATGATGGCAAGCCCGGTAGAGAGGGAAGGTTGAGCATGAGCCTAGCAATCCCACCGCGTAAAAATCCCACTTCTATTAGAACTTCAGAGCTCAAGCTAGAGGCCCTATGTTCCCCTGGGAACGCAAAGGAATTAAATAATAATAATAACAATAATAATCCAAGAACAATATTAGCTTGTCTCAACTACTTATAACTTATACAATACCAAAATATATGCAATACAAAGAAGTGAACATACTTTTATTTGTTTGACAAGATGTTCTATACAGGAAATCCCTGGTGACAAAATATCACGTGTAATGCAAATACCATTATCCTTAAAGGGATTTATTTGTATTTCCCTTTCCCAAGGAATGAAAAAGAGCAAAACGATATCGTTGTTTTTATTGACGTTTCGCTATTTAATGCTGCTGGTGCTAATAGCTTAATCAAAGTAGTAATATTAAACCAGAATTTACAAATTACCCTCAGCTTATATCACATAAAAACTTAATCATCGTTCCTCAGCATGGGGTCATTATTGCGTTGTCAAATTAGCCAATTGGTAAAGATAACAAAACCAGGTGTAGATTGTTGGATATGATAAGTGTGTAAAATTATAAAAGCAGCATGAGTTTACATAATGAAATTGCTTATCAAATTCATGTCGATTTTGCCACTTCATGGGGAAGGGGGTGTTGTAACCAGGTCAGATTCTGTTTTAGTCCATCATTCCTATTCAAACAATTTGGATTCCATTTGATATGAAGTGATTCTGATATTAGATGTTCTTTGCGATTTCTGAAATGCTTTTTCTGGATGATTATTTCAATATTGTCAAAATCAATTTTGTGGCCCGATTCTATAGCGTGTAGACCACCACCACCTATGGCTGATGATTTTTCAAGTTTTTCTAGTTCAACTAAATTTCCCGGTGATCGAATAATAATAATATAATGACGGCAGCGTTTATTCACAATACAGAATTTTCAGCGAGCTTCATTGCAAGGTATTTACTCCTTGTGCAGATTCTTCATATAATATATAATAATCGATATCATCCGAGGCAATATGGTTCCATCGGAAGCTTGCTCCAGTACTACTTCACAATGCTCTTCCTTCCTTTCCTTCGAAAAATTACTAGCGGTAGCTAGAAACTTATTTGAACTAGTGCGCGAGAGTATAAATACTGACTCATTGTGTAATAAGCCGTAATTTCCATTCGGAACCCAAGCCGTGACCAGTAGGGTGCAGCAGGTCGGGTGTGAGGACAAATACTCGCCGAAGACATGGCTAGCGGTTGCGCTATATCGTGAATTGGCAGAAGTTAGAATTCATGGGCCATTGGATTGGGTCCCAGTGACTTAATGGTATACGAGCTCGCCTTGTAACCAGAAGGTCCTGGGTTCGAACCGTGGTGGTGGGTGCGTACTGTCGAAGAGTCCCAAACTAGGACGGAGGAAACACCTGTCCAGTACTCCCAGGTTTTCCAATGGTTCTCTAACTGATGTCAACTCATGATGAAATCCTGTAACCAATCAGTTAAATCCCTACAAACCAATACTTGAATAATAATAATAATAGTAATGACTTTTCAATATACACTGCGTTGAGTATTGAACATGAAAAAGATTGAGCTTAAATTATTTGTGCCGCGAAAAATTCTTTTTTCCAATTTAAATAGAGATAATACATCGTCACCTTAACCTGATATTTGTTTTTTTTTAAACGCTTATCATCATTAGTCATGAACATTTGAACCCATTGAAAGCCACTAATTATGAATGCATTCGACTGTCAGACATATGAGGTAACAGTGCATCATTAGTAGTTTTTTGTCTACTACGATAGGGAGGGAGAGCAGTAACACAAACACTGGTTGATGGAACAGAAATCTTCGGCCTTCATCGACATATCGGCTCCTGTTACGGGCACTTCGACAATATCTGAGGCCTAACTTGAAGTAATTCTATTGTATGGAATGTTGGATGCATATTTTTCCCTATTCGGGACTCGTCAGCTATTGGGTGTACCTGAATTCCCCAGTGAGTGTTGTTGGAGTTCCCACTGAGACTCACTCGAACCCAGTACCCATCGTTTCAAACTCCAAAACATTGTCAACTTTATTCTCAGACACCGTCAAAGCGTCCGTACGAGGACATTTCGTACCAATCAGTCAACAGGAAGACCAAAAGTGAACTGAAAAACAAATCTAGTAACTGATGCCCGTTGTACGAAAGGTGGCGTGGCCCAAGTGGTCTAGTGGGTAGACGCCTCAGCCTATGAAACGATGGTTACTGGGTTAGAGTGAGTCTCATGTGAGAACGCCATCATCACTCATTGGGGAACGTAGGTACATCCATTAGCTGACGAGTCCCAAATAGGACGAAGTGCGGCGTATCCTAGTGGATCCCGCTGCTAGTTACCATCCTCCAAAATTATTTTATGCATCGTAGACTTCGAAAAGTTGAAGTGGTGTTTTGTAACCTGTGGCTCATCCGATAAGTCTCTAGACTAACTGTCCACAACTCCATGTCTTGAGGATAATTATATTACATTTAAACGAAGAAGATAAACAGTCGATAATTGAATCGAATTTCAGAGAGGTTTGTTTATGGGACTAGATAGATCATGCTACGATTATTTCCATGTATGCCAACGTGGTTTCTGACAGAAGCAAAGATTATTCTTGCTGCTGGTAACTGGAGCTCAAAATCGAAATATTAATTCGCTTTATCATGTAAGCCTGGTAAGCCTGATTTAAGCGAACTAAAATCGCCTCTATTTTTCGGAGTGTTCAGTATATCTAAAGTCCTTTCGTAATTTATTTGACACACAATAGATGATAGAGACAGATTCTATAATGCCGGCTTTGTGGTCTGTGTGGACGAGGTGACGCAATATAGAACTTTTGATGGTTTTGACAGCACCTTGATTTAACCACACTGGTAAGTGTCCTTGGGGGAGGACACAAAATTAGCTTCCTTGAACAGTGGCCAATATAACTGACTCCACGGAAGCAAAGGTGAATTGACGAAATATTGTGCAGTAAATTACGTTGAGAATTCAGTGTATTGTTTAGAAGCTATAGTCCAGAATAAAGCTATATCATATATATATACGTTATTGATAGCGCGATCTAACTGTTGCCTTTTCGCAGTTGTTGACTTACTCATAAGCGATGTATCTGGGTTAACTAATCTTACAAAGTCAAGTCAGTTTAAATCGCTTCTGGTTAACGTAAGCGGTTTCCGACCCCTCAAATAAATCAGTAGTAAGCACTATCTCACTATCTTATTATTATTATTGTTTCCTTTAATTTCCAGAGGAACATAGGGCTTCAGCCGTGCGTCTCCATTGCGTTCGGTTCTCTGCTAGAGTCTTTACCTGGCTCCACGTCTACCCACACGCTTTCATCTCCTCTTCACATTACCTCCTTCAAGTCACCGTTGCACTGACAACCAACTCGCCGCTTCCCTTTCGGGTTCCACTCGAGCAATGGCTTGTCAAGTGATGTCACTTGATGGTTTGTTTCCTCAGAGTTTGGCCAATCGATCTCCATTTCTTCCTCCATATTTGTTGCATAATCGGTTCCTGGTTGGTTCGCTCCCAGAGACCCCTCTCTTTTGCTGATCTTTTCTGGCCGGCCATCTCATCTTGAGTAGAAAGGAGCGAAGACAGGTGTTGATGAAGGTCTGTAGTTTGTTGGAGGTGCTCTTCATGACGCACCAAGTGTCTGATCTGTGTACTGAGTAGCACTGACTTCACTTTGGAGTTGACTTCCACACAGACTTGGGAGAAATGAAAGCTTGTCTTGCTTTCTTGATTCTAGCTTTGATATCCTCGTCAGTTCTGTCCGCTTGTAGTTGAAACGATGCTTCCCAGGTAGGTGGTAAAGGAGGTAGTTTCTTTCAGGTTCCTCCCATTTATGCTGACTGATTGTTGCCTGTTGTTGTTGTTGCTGTTGGTGGTGTTGGCCAGGAATCTTGATCACCTCTGTTTTCTCTATGTTCACCTGAACTCCTCTCTTCTCTGGATGCTTCTTCTGCCAACTTGTTGCTTTTCACTTGCATATCTTCCAGTTTGTGGGAAATCAGACATATATCATCAAGGGCTAAGTCCAGATCCTCCAATTTTTCGTGAGGGTCCATTTTATGCCTGTTTCCTTGCTGCCCTGTCATTTATTGTGTCAAGCAGGTTACCTATTGATATGCATATATATATATATATATATACATATATATATGTATATATTGACGTGGTGATCGATGTCCAGTCTGAAAATGAACCAATCAGAATTTAGTTGACGTAAAATAATGTCAATGTTTTATTGATTATGATTAAAAACTGATTGACATATCCTTAGTGATATTTTGAGTTATTTATACGTTATTGAGTGAAAACATTCTTTTGCGGCCCACGTCGTTGTGTATCGTTGCTTGAGTAGTGCATGCTGGGGAAACAAGTAGTTGTCGTATAATATGTTGTTGGCCTGGTCAAGCGGTATTTGAGATCGGCACGTTTGTATCCCATTCAACGTCTCTCTTTCAATCTCAACGTATTGCAAAACACCATATATATATATATATATATATTAATACCATAGTGGATGTACTATTATCTCATTTAACTGGTGGATGGTGACTAGCAGTGGAATTCAGGATGCGCATTTCGGACTCGGTGGGAACATCATCACTCACTGGGAAATGCAGGTACATCCAGCTAGCTGAGGAGTCCCAAATAGGATGAAATGCACGTTATCCTGGATTCCACTACTAGTTACCATCCACCAGTTAGCTTCTAATTACATGCCCAGACATCGTCGAAGCATCTACACAAGAAGCCGACATGTCAACTTGAGACCAAGTACTTCAGTCCAGTCAATCGACGGGAAAATCGAAAATTCAATTAATTCATAACCTTTTGTTTGCTTGTTATTATCATTATTATTATTCTTCATATCCTATTGATTTAATCTTCCATTTAGACTTCTACCAGTTGCTATGATCAGTCTCATCGGATATGCAATTGGACGAATGGAACAAGTTGAAGAGAATTTCATCGCTTTAGTCTTATTCATTGCATCATCGATTACATTTCATACAATCATTATACTTGTGGTTTTACCGTTATTCATCTTTATTACAGTAAAACGAAATTTATTTCGTTTCTATAGTTTTCTATCCGAGCCTGTATTGACCGCTTTCAGTTCGACTAGTTCGTAAGTTTATCTCATTTTTATATGCTTTTTTCCATATGTTTATTTTACGAGTTGATCACGGATTGATATCAGTTAGAGAACCATTGAAAACGAGCCACAGGGAGTTCTGGACAGCTGTTTACCCCCTCTTAGTTTGGGAATCATCGGCAGTACGCACCCACCGCTTGGGTTCGAACCCAGGGCCTTCCGGTTGCAAGGCAAGCTAACTCGTATACCATTCAACCACTGGGACCCGATTCAATGCCGCGAGAAAATGAATTCTAACTTCTACCAATTCGTGATTTAGCGCGACCCCAACCATTGTCGTAGGTGGGACATCCATTCTCACACGCGACATCTGGATGGACCTCAAGAATTGGGTTAGAATTCATCAGCCATTGACTTGGGTCCCAGTGACTGAATGGTATACGAGTTAGCTTGCCTTGTAACCGGAAGGTCCTAGGTTCAAACTCCAGTGGGTACGAACTGCCGATGATTCCCAAACTAGGGATGGAGGAAACAGCTGTCTAGTACTGCCAGCTGGTGGTTTTCAATGGTTCTCTAACTAGTATCAATCCGTGATCAACTCGTAAAAGCAAAACTAACCCTCACAAACCAAACCATATTTTTATTATTGGAATTTAGCTTGCTTATCGGGTGAATATATTATACCTTTGACTCAGGGAGTGTTGCTGTTTCTTGTAAAACTTTAATCTTGTGGTCTTTGCCTGAAGGTCATCTTTTGGAATAATCAAATTTTGAAATAGTTGTAGTAGAATCCACGTTTCGTCCTACTTGAGACTCGTCAGCTAGCGGATATACCTGAATTCCACAATGAGTTATAGTGGAGACCCACTTCAGCCCACTACCCATTGTTTCAAATGGCAAAGCGCTATCCACTAGACTCCTTGGGCCAATAGAGGCAACCAAGGCTGAACATCTCGGTCTAATCCCAATCAACTGGGGATATCATCAACACAGAATTGAAAATAAACAATCACATTTTGTTCAAAAGTTATTGGTTTTCATGATCAGTTTAATTTATTTGATCTGTACTCGTAAGAAGCCATATGACTGTTCAAATTCCAACGTGTTACGTTCGACGATAACTTTACACCTAAGGTTAACAAGTTCATTTAACCTTTTGATAGTGTGTGGAGCGAGTCTTCTCTTTAAAAATTAAAAACAATTAGTTCCCTTAATGAATTCAGACAAAGCAATAAGAAGACGCAATTTGTCTGAATCGTGTAGTGTACTTGCCAAACACATTCCCAATAATCTGATCACACACGGACTTGTTATAGGAATGAATATATATGAAATTAATAAAGAGTTAAGAGGTGAGAAAATACATTTAGGTCAAGTTGAAAGGACATATTGAAGGTCGAAATAAAAATGAAGATCACTAAACCATATAACAGAGGTATTAGTACATCTACCCTGGCTGGTATCAAAACAAAGTTTACCAAGGAAGGTTTAGTGTGATGACGAATTGTTGCTTTGATCGCGAAGACAGCTGTTGATGAAAGTCTGTCGTTTGTTTGAGATGCTCTTTATGACGCGCAGTGCAAGTCTCTGATCCGTATAGTAGCACTGACTAACTTCACATTGGAGTTGAAAATCCGGATCTTATTTTCATTTTCACACTGAGTGCTGTTGACCTCCACACAGACTTGAGAGTAATGAAACCTAGCCTTGCTTTCCCGATTCTCGCTACTTTGATGTCCTCCTCAGTTCCGTCGTCCTATAGTTGAAACGATGCTTCCCATGTCGGTTGGTAGGTAAAGGAGGTTACTTCTTTCATATTTCTCCCATTTCTGCTGATTGCTGTCTGTGGTGTATGCCTGATCCATCTCCATTTTCTTCTACACATCCACTTGTTCAACAATCTGCTCTTTCTTGGTTTGGTCATCGCCGGAGTTTCTTGCTGCTAATTCCCTTCTGGCCACCCAGTTGGCCAGCCAGTCATTTGATCTTCTGTACGGAGTCAGCCAGCGAATATGGAAGCTATTGATAAAAGTCTGTAGTGACCTGTTGGAAATGTTTTTCGTGATTCATGCGAAGAGCAAGTTTCTGACCCGTATAGAAGAACTGACTGACTGACTTCACATTTGTGTTGAAATGAATCCAAATCTTGTTCTTTCTGCTGGCTGACTGAGTGACAGCAGCAGAAGATTTCCAAACTGGTTTCAGGTTGATGAAGTGGCTGGCTGGCTGGATGGCTTTGACATCTTCATCCGTTCTAACTGCCTGTGGTTGAAACGATACTGGCTGCCTAGATATTTGAAGGAGGTGACCTTTGTTAAATCTCCCACTGATGATGAGTGGTGCTGGTAGTTTTAGGCCAAATACGTGTAGTACATATTAGAATCACAATTTGCACATATCTCCAGTGTTGTGCTTCCCTTGTCTTTCTCTCATTTTTTTTCCATATTATTTTACAAGTACCGTTCATTAAATCTATCTCTCTGCTATTCGTTGCATATTTATATCTGCGTCTATATGCTACTTATAAATCGTATCAGTAGCACACACCACATAAGTCTGCTGTAACTGGAATCGACTACACAGAAGGCTGTATGCACTGATCTCCTTTCATCAATTGACATTGTGGATATCCTAGTGAATATTCTGCAACATCTCTCATATCTATTATTATTATTGTTTCCTTTAATTCCTACAGGAACATAGGGCTTCAGTTGTGCGTCTCCATTGCGTTCGGTTCTCTGCTAGAGTCTTCACCTGGCTCCAAGTCTGCCCACACGTTTTCATCTCCTCTTCACATGACCTCCTCCAAGTCACCCTTTGACGACCAACTCGCCGCTTCCCTTTCGGGTTCCACTCGAGCAATGGCTTGTCTAGTGATGACATTTGATGGTTTCCTCAGAGTATGGCCTGCCAATCCATCTCCATTTCTTCCTGCTTATTTGTTGCATAATCGGTTCCTGGTTGGTTCGCCCCCAGAGATTCCTCACTACTGCTGATCTTTTCTGGCCATCTGATCTCGAGTACTGAGCGAAGACAACTGTTAATGAAGGTCTGTAGTTTGTTTGAGATGCTCTGTATGACGCGCTGGCCAAGTCTCTGATCCGTATAGTAGCACTGACTTCACATTGGAGTTGAAAATCCGGATCTTATTTTCATTTTCATGTTGAGTGTGCTGTTGACTTCCACACAGACTTGAGAGTAATGAAAGCTTGTCTTGTTTTCCGATTCTTGCTTTGATATCCTCGTCAGTTCCATGGGCCTGTAGTTGAAACGATGCTTCCCAGGTAGGTGGTGAAGGAGGTTATTTCTTTCAGGTTCCTCCCATTTATGCTGAATGTTGTCTGTTGTTGTTGTTCTTGTCCAGGAATCTTCATCATCTCTGTTTTCTCTATGTTCACCTGAATTCCTATCTTTGATGCTTCTTCTACCAACTTGTTGCTTTTCGCTTTCATATCTTCCAGTTTGTGGGAAATCAGACATATATCATCAAGGGCGAAGTCTAGATCCTCCAAGTTTCTTGTGTGAGTCCATTTTATGCCTCTTTCCTCATTGCTCGCTGTTCGTCCCATTATCCAATCTACTGCAATCAGGTCCAAAGAGGTCGATTGTTCTAGCTACCCCTGTATGTGCGTGCTAGCTGGTGGCATTCTTGTATCATCTCATGGCGTAGAGATTGAGGTGTAACTGTCAACCAGCTCTTCTCAAGTCAGAGCTCCTTAGGCGTTCACTAATAATCGGTCCTTCTGCTCAATTGCATGGTTAAATCTCCATTCGCTGTAGGTTGATTTACTTCCGTTTCATTAGTGATCACCTGTATTACTGTATTCAGGGTAGGGTAAGATCTTTGACTTCGATTAATTCTTAATGGATCTTTTTCCAATGCATGTGCTCCGTATACAACTTCCAGTAATATGGCTTCATCTTTCGGCCTAGATAAGAAATCTGTCAGCAAATTTACTTCTCTTGGAATGTGAGGGATCGTGAAGTGGGACAATTTCCCACTTGGGCCTCTGTCTGTCTTTAGTTACTGTAGCGTCTTTTTGATGAGTTTCGATGTGGGTTGGGTGACCGATTAGACAAGGTCTTCATTTGTCTAACGCCCACTCAATTACTAAACATTCTTTTTCTAACGTTAAATACTTCAGCTACGTGTGTGTTAGAACACGACTGACATATTCGACAACTCCTTCACTCTCTCCTGGTAATGCACATATTCCGTAGTTGCTCCCACACGTGGACACCGTGGAATGTTTCTCAGATACGGGTATTTTAAATGTCATTTGCTGGTGGTCTAAGAACTGTTTAATGCGGTCGAATATCTTCTGCGAATCTTCCTACCGAACAAACTTTGACTCATTTCATATTGTGTACAGCGTGGCTACTATCCCTTTGAAGTTTTTCACAAACCGACTATAAAATGCTGCTCTCTCCGAGAACCGCCTTAGCTTTCTCTTAGAATTCTGGGACGCGATGGTCTTTATCGTCAAGATCTTCTCTGGCAGAGGTTTTATCTCACTGTCTCCTACTTTATGTCCCAACAAAGTCATATTCCTTTTGACTATTTGAGATTTTGTCTTGTTAATACGTATTTCAAGCTCTTCAATGCCTCTTAACATGGCTTTGACATGCTCCTCATGGTCACTTTCAGTCTGACTGTATATGACGAGATCACCACCCTACACCTCCACGTTCTCCAAGCTTTTTAGTAACCGTTGTCATTAGTCATCTAAATGTAAAGGGTGCACCTGCCAATCTAAACGAAATGCGTCTATACAGACATTGCTTCTGCCCAACAATGAACGCTGTCTTACCTCTGTCGCCTCATCTGATCAGTATTTGCCAGTATCTTGACTGGAGTTTGACAACTGTAGACAGATTTACACTTTGTAGGCTATCGAGAGTTTCTGCTACAACTGACATGACAAAAGGCCTCCTGTTCTGTTATGCTGTCTGGCTATCGGAAATCAATACAGAATCTATACTTCCTATATGCTTCTTCCACTAAAAGAACTGTAGAGATAAACAAGCCGTCA